CCTATAGGCTTTGACTAATTTTTGGAACAATCTGGTGATCTCACAGGAAAATTTTATAAAAATATATTGTTTAGGGAGTGTCCAGGCCTCATAATGATATTTACCTAGGGATCCTCCCAACTTAATAACTTGGCCATTTAGTGGCAGGGCCAGAAATAAATATGTACCTTTTTGGATTTAAGAGTTTGGGCTGAGAAGTCATTTTGAAGCCGGCCCCAGGCCAGCTCTACCACTTACTCACTGAGGGAACATGAAGAGACTGCTTATTGCCTTGACACCTCCTTTCCTCTTGGGGCTCTATGAGGATGAAATGAGATAGATAATATGAGTGCGGGCTGAGTGTGGCTGGTGAATGCTGCAGACGAGCTACGACTGCAGTCCAGTGTTCTTGCTGCTGCTCAGGAGTCATCCCTCCTAGCCAGTCCTTTCACAACATCTTCCCCATCCTCCTTGCTTTGTTGAGATACACCTGGCACACGGTGCACTGCACGTATGGACACGTACAATTTGATGAGTCTTGACACAGTGCACACCTGTGACACCATCATCACAATCAGGATAATGACCCATCATCCTCAGAAATTTCCTCATGCCCTTTTATATTCCATCCCTGCTGGCCCCTTTTTGTTTCCAGCAAACAGTGATCAGTTTCCTACCACTACAGATTCGCCTGCATTTTCCAGTTTTATAAATGGATTCATACCAGCGGCACTGGGTTTTGGTCTGGCTTCTTTGAGTCAGTATAATTATTTTGAGATTCATCAAAGCTACTGATTATTGATTTTGCTTTTAAAAAAGTATATCCTTTTCCTGTACATGGTGGAAAAAATTATTTCCAAGTGAGAGATGCAGGCTGGCAGTGCTTCCCAAGGGTCTTAGCTGAGGGGTTTCTGGTCATGAACTCCTGGCTGCCTGGGATTTCTGACACATACAATTTGAGCACTCTGGTATGCCCATGTCCCAGTAGTATGCAAGATGATCCTAAAGCCACAGGATTTACCAGGGAGCACACTAGGATCTTGCAACAGGTTTTCCACATTGCATTTGCCCAGACTCCATCTCCAGAGGTTCAGAGATCTGAGGTATAGCTAGGTTGAAGGAACATAACTAATTTCTAAAAGTCACCTGGGCAATGGACAAAGGAAAAGGAAGAGAACTCAGCACCTGTTGGTAAGAGAAGAGTCACCTTCCACAGAAGAAGGGGGCTGCTCAGTTGGACCTGAAATAGCTGGTAGGGCATCCTCTGGCCCTCATGTGAATGCAGTACAGGTTGGGCAGCCCTAACCTCAAAACTCAAACACAAAACACCACCATATATGAAGATTTTTGAGCACTTAACATGATATAAGTGGAAAATTCTACATCTGACTTCATATGACTGGTTGCAGTCAAAATGTAGATGCACTAAAAAGGCTACATCTATAAGGTGTATGTGGAACATGAATAAATTGCATGTTAAGATTTGAGCCCATTCCCAAAATATCCCATTGCATGTATGCAAAAATTCCAAAATCTGAAAAAACTGAAACACTCTGGTCCTAAGCATTTTGGATTAGGGATACTAAACCAGTACCTACAAGTTTAGTGACCACAAGTGAAAATAAGCCTGCTCCCTAGGTTTATTTCAGCCTCTGAACACACATGACCAGAGAATGCTGTTGTGCATCAGGAAATACACAAGGGTGGTGCTGTCACCTGCCTGTACACACAGTTTCAGAAAACCATATTCAAGAGGGTGCGGAAATCAATATCGAAAATGAGACACTCAAATTACCGCAAAGAGCTATTTTTGCTTATTCCAAATTGTTCTGTTTCTCTAAGTAGCTATTTTCAGTCAGCTGCTTCCCTGGCTATGTATAGGGATGGTGCTGCAATTTAAATGCTGCAAGTGGGAAAGAAAAGAAATCTGCAAATAGGCTTGCACCCTAGGGGTAAATCTGGGACCATGGAAGGGTGGTGGGAGTCAGTTCTTCGCCTAAATATATGGTATCTTCAAATTTCACCCATGGGTTGGAAACCATGAAGAAATAAATATCCATGTATGCTGGGGGGGTCACTTTCTAGTAAGTGCTCAGGGTTTAAAAATAGGGATTTAAGAGGCAACGTCTCCCCTATGCCTCTTGAGGGCTGCTTCTTGTCTTGTCTTGCTCTGCTGTCCAGGGACCCTGTTTAGACAGCAGGTGAGGGGAAGCTTAGCTCTATTTTTAAAGTTTTTGGTTTTCTGATCATTACCAGGGGGAATATGGACAAAGGAGCAACAGTGGGAAGGAAAGTGGCCCCACACATTGGTCCAGTGAGTCACTCAGCAATTATTTACTGGTTCTACTGTCCCAAAATACACCGAATATGACCACTTGGCTCCATCCCCTTTGCTGCCGCCTTGTCTCTGCTCCCTTTATTTTTCACCTTGGCCAGAGAGACTTCCTGTTTTGATTCTTGGTTCATCCAGTGCATCCTCTACCTTGCAGCCAGAGAGAGGCTTTTAAAAGTGAAGATTGAACTGAACCACAGTGGAATTAAAATTAATGCATAATAAAAAGTCTAAAAGTTAATAGTGGGTGTCTCTGGGGAAGGGGTGAAGAGAGACTATGCCTGATTTCCTGTGGTTTTGAGTTTTGTACAGTGAGCTTGTATTTCTTTCATAATTTAAAGAGCATTTCAAATATTCAATTTGGTTCTTGCACTTTAGGAGCCCTTAATCTTGCATTAGAGTCTCAGACAGTAAAAATTCTAGGAATCTCCCTTGTTCATTATGGCTTTGAGGAGCAGAAGCCATGGTCACCTAAAGGAAGTTATTGGAGAAAGGAACCTTTAGGAAGAGAGTGCTGGTAAGCACCAAGATTGCCTGGTAAGACAGCACTGGTAATGACCAATGGCCAGGGCCAGTGTCCAGGTTGGGCTGGGTGTTGTTTACTGGGAAGTAGCATCAGGGACTTAAGGCTCAGATGCAGTTCTGTGACTCTGTGTGATGTCCCAGAAGGAACCTATTCTTAGCCCAACTGATTATTCTCCAAGGAGGCTAATCACTCTTTGCTTTCTTTCATTTCTATCTTTAATATTTATCAGACAAGTACAGTCCTAGAAGTCTGGAATGATCTCTTAGTTTTATGTGCCCAGAAAGTGTGGCTAGCAGGTTCTTCTGTGAGGGAAAAAGAACACACAAGATCTACATGAGATCAAATTTGGTGCCAAAAGTGGAATGATAGAGGGCCTCCAGGGCAGGTGGCTGAGGAAGAACAATCAGCACAGGGCTTCCCAGCTAACTTGACCTTGGGGCTTAACCCCAGAAGCCACTTCCCTTGGAGCTCAACTCAGCAGCACCTGCCCACTTTCCTCCTAACTTGCCTTCTCTTTGATCAGCTCATTCCCTTAGGCACAGAGCCACTTCTTGATTTGGCTCCTTGTTTGTCTTCTGGGAGAGAAGTTGTACTGCTGTCCAAAGAGATGACATATCCTTTAAGCTGTCATTATTCCTATTGTGGAATAAATAGAAATGTTGGTCAGATTGGACAAGTGCTTTATGGAGCCTACCTGTTCCCTGTACTCACTTGGACATTTAAAAATTGGCTGAACCATGTTTTTATTTTTTCCACCACCTCAAGGCCATACCATTTCTCTTTTTAATATACAGACTATGCCTCGCACAGAATAAGTGCCAATAAATATTTGTTGAATTGATTTTCCTCTTCAAAGATGTGGCAGAAAGACCCTCCTGCCTTATGGACATAATTCTTTTGTGCAGCGGTTATTGAATTCCTTCTGCATGGATATTGGTTGCATCAGCCAATACAAGGTAAGTCTCAGAGTCTGAGCTGAGCACGACCTGGATCAACAGAAACAAATGGAATCCAAGGATGAACATGAGTGTAGTGGGGCAGGGAGCCCAGAGGCAGGAAAAAGAGAACACATCCAGGTCTATGTGGACAGCAGATGACTATAAGCCAGGGTCAAGGTAACAGGCAGGCAGTGTATGAGATGAGGAAGAGATGAAGGAATGGAGAGCAAAGTGGAATGATGTGATGAGTTCAAGTCCAATTTGGCTTTGTGTCCCAGTGTTGTGGCAGGTGCCACCTTGGACAACTTATGTGTGGAAATAGAAGCTGGGAGATGTAGTACAAAAAGGAGGCAAATTAGTAAGATTTAGAAATATCTAGTACCCTTAAAGAGTTCTTTACAGGTATTCTTCGGCCTTCTCATTCTTCCTGCATGTCTGTTCATAGGAATTCAGTATTTCCAGTTCGATGGTATGGTTGGGGTGGGGGGTGTCACTGGACCCAACTCTGTCATGCTACAGACTAGGAATCAGGCTCACATGGCTAACATCACACATCACTAGTTAAAGAAAATATCAAGTGACATAGAACAAACCAAGGGCTGTCTAAATTGGACGTCCTAGCTCACATTTATACTTTGTTTCATATTCCTCTGGTTTTTATTTTACACTGTTTCAAGGACAAGTCATGCTGGTCACTACTGAAAAACAAGAAGTAACTACATAGGGCATGACAGACACACATGACTGACTCAGAGGCCTCCAGTTCCTAATAATAATAATTACCACAGCTCAGACCCATGAATCTCTGCTACCAGGTTACTTGGGGTCCAAGAGGGATGAGAAATGAAAAGCTTCTATTCTTTCCCATGCTACAGCATGGTCTCACTCTCCCTTGAGAAGCTAATTTCCTATTCTATGTGGTTCCTTGCATGAAGCCTGCTACCTGCCACTCTTCTGTTTTATGTGGTGCCTCTGACGGAGCCCTGCATCACCTCAGGAGTCCCCCCCATCTGGCTGTTTGGCCCCAGTCTAGGTAACGACGTTACCTATAAACACAGGGACTGATATACAGCCATGCTCATAGATGGCATAAAGAGGTCACACAACAGAGTGATTAAAAAAAGATTAGAGAATAAATAAAACAGGTCTTGTGTAGAGTTTTCAAAGGAGACTAATCATGAGAAATCCTACGATGGGTGCACTGTTTTGGGGGTTGTCCCTTCATGAGCAAGCAGAGAAGGAAGGAAGAGCTGAGAGTTCTAACAAGGACTGAACAGCCAGGGATATGCTTGGACATGGAGGAGAAGCATTTTTGCCACCTCATTTAAAAGACTTCCAAACACCACTGCCTCCTCCATTGCTGGAAGACACTTCATTCTGGAGGTCTCCAAAGCTCCCACAGCACTCTGGCCCAATATGATTATTCCCCCAGCAGCTGTGCTGCTCACCCCTTGCAAAGGGCTCCCCGCCTGCACCCAGCCATATCTTTCCACCACCAAATCCTGGCTATTAACTGAGTGGCCATAACCTTCCCAGATGTCTTTCTTGTGTTTCCTGATGTGGAAACCAGACCCTGCTCTGTGATGGAGTCTCCTGATGTTGACCAGCCTCTTCCTGCCTCCCTACAGCAAGGTGGGGTCCTCCCTGATGATGACAGCAAGATGCAAGGTATGTTTTCCAAACCACCAAAGACATTGCATAAATATCTGAATGCACACATATGTTAAAAACTGGCCAACAACACTGCTAATAGCTGAATGAAGCTTGGGAAACAAGGAAAAGGAATCAGTAATCTTGTTCATTTGAACAGTGCAGATCTGTGACCAGAGCAAGTTTCCACATATTCAGTGGTTATCTTTTTGCTAAAATAAGTCTCAGTTTTCTCAGTTTATGATATGGAGTTAATTATCAAAATAATGCCCCTATTTCTTTTATAAGGTTGTTGTGTGCATCAGAGAACAAAAAGTGCCATGAAACCCATTTTTAAAATCAATAGATTATTAGTTCTGTAATTAGTCATTGCCTTGCTCAAAGTCAGTGCTCACTAGACTTTAGAACTATAGCTTGACTGTGAAAGAAAATGTTATTATTTCATGGCATTTCTTACTTGCAATTCTTATTTGTTTGTCTGTTTATTACTTATCTTCCCAGTTAAGACTATAAACCCTGTGTGGTGAGGAACTCTGTCCATGTTACTCAGAACTGTATCCTTTGTTCCTTGAGGAGTGTTTGTACAGAGATAATGCCTAAGTCATTTCTAAGGGGATGAAGAGCAGCTTTATGACTTAGAAGGAAATGTAGAGAACAGTTAATGTGGATTTAAATTTAGTGAATGCAAGCTTATTTAACTAGAATTTGCTGCTGGTGTAGAAATGAAAGCTACCAGGTCATCTTGAGGATTGAAATGTGGAAAGAAACACCAGACATGAAGAACAGATAAGAAATTTGTGAATTTTGAGAAGGGAGAGATTTGTTTTCCATGTCTTCTAAAGGGCTGACCTCATTTGTGGTATCCCAGAATGTGGAACCCAGACCCAAAGAGAAGTATGGTTTGTGCAATCAAAGATTTTCAGAAATGGAATGGGCCTGCTCAGGAGGTGGTGAGTTCTTTGACATGGTCAATATTCAGGAAGAGGTGGGGTGAATTTGTGGTGGATGGACTGAAAAACTGGGATGTTAGACAAGATATAATGTGGTCACTATGGTTTCATTTAATCCTAACCTGTATAGCTCCAGAGGCAAAATCATAAATAAATAAATAAATAAATAAATAAATAAATAAATGGAATGTGAGTGGAAAGGGAAGGGAGAAGGAAAGGAGAGAGGAGATTTGGGACCATTTTTGTTCCTTGAGAAACCTTGCCACCCTCAATCCATGTCTTCCTTCAGGGAACTTTGGACACAGACCACATGCAGCTCAGAACAATTTGTGACCCATGTTCTTCCTCTCCAGCCAGACCTCTGCCCCTCATCGAATTCATGGCCCCAGTCCAGCTCTCAGATAATTACCCTAGTCTTCAGCCAGTGTTCTGCCTCAGTATAAGGAAGACAACTATTTACTTCTTAGCTTTTTTTAAAAATTAAATTCTTTTATTGGTACATTGTAGGTATACAACACAATTACATTTCTCATTGGGAA